TGGGCGGGGCGACAAGCAGGAGGCGTGGAGGGAGGAGTGGGGGGTCAGGCATGGAGAGAGTGGGGAGGGGGGAGGGAGGAGTGGGGGGGCAGTGGGGTGAGGGAAGAGAGAGGGGACAAGCAGGGAGAGGGTGGGAAGGTGGTGGAGGAGAGGGAAGTGGGGGGGCAGGCAGGAAAGGGAAGAGTGGTGGGACAGGAGGAGCAAGGGAGGGGAGGGAAACGGGACTCGGTGACCCCCCAGGTCCCCTCCACTGTTCCCGTGCACAAAGGCCCAGCCCCCAGGCCCTTCTCCCAGCCCAGTGTGTGGCCCCACCTGCTCCCTGGGTCTGCGCCAACCCCCCGGTGGGGGGGAGGATGTCAAGAGTCCCCGGCTGGGGCGCCTGTGGATATGTCCCCAAATGCCCCTCCGGGTCACTTACCACCCCCGTCCTAGCAGCTCTCTGTTCCCTGGGGCCACCCCCCCCCCCACTCTAACCGCCAGACCTCACTCCCCTCCCAGAGCCGGTGAGAGAACCCAGGAGTCCTGGCTCCCAGCCCCCCTCCTCTAACCACTAGCTGGTATTTTTCTAACACAAGCAGTATTGCACCCATCACGAGGCGTCTCTATTTTGGACTTCGCTATGATGAATAAAGATGAATTAATCTCTGGACTGGAAACTGGTGGTTGCCTAGGGACCAATGTTTGTGACCTGGTTACATTCGATATGGGGAAACATGACGCTCCTCATCAGTAAGATAGACACTTAGTGCTGCTAATTTCCCAAAGTGGAGGAAAATTCTGAGCTGCGAGGAAAAATTTGATTGAGAATTGGGAGTTCTTTAAAAATCCACAAAAGCTGCAAGCAAGAGACAGAAATAAATTTGGCTAAATGCCCATCCTGGGTCAGTGACGAAGGCAGCCGTTAGAAATAAACAAAAGCAATGTACAAATGGGAAAAAAGGGGGGGAAATAGGTTGCAATTAATTAGAAGGTATGATGTGTAGAAAATTGGTAAGGGAAGCTAAAGACAGAGAAAAAAAGCTGGCAGGGTGAAGGACGATAAGAAGTTTTTTAAAGTATATATTAGGAGCAGAAAAAATTGTAGATGCAAAGAGTAAAACGAGATGCAAAGAGTAAAACAGTTAATGATGCAAAGACGGTGGAAGCGGTCAATAAACGTTGGTGTTCTGTGTTTGGGAAGAAGTAGGATGATGAAGCTGTGTCACATGAGGCTGATGAGGTACTTTCTGGCCTGTTAGTAACCAAGGAGGTTATTTGATGTTAAACATCATCCACCCGGAATCAACATTTTTAAATCAGCAGGCTGGGATAACTGGTATCCAAGAGTTCTCAGCGAGTTGGCTGAGGGAGGTCTCTGGCTCGCCGATGTTAATACATAATAAATCTTGCAGGGCCGGGGAAATTCCAGAAGAGGGCTGGTGTCGTGCCGAAAGGGGGATGACCCAGATGTAGGCCCGTTAGCCACTACGGGCTTCAGTTGAGAAAGGGTTAAAGTCTCTGCGACTATTATGAATAGCGCG